ATATAAAGAACCTGATGTCATTAAATTTATCAAAATTCAAAGGATTAAATGGGCAGGCCACATTATAAGAATGGAGGATAGCAGGACAACCAAAAAAGTTTTCTGTGCCAGGCCAACAGGTACAAGAAAAAGAGGACGACCAAACCTAAGATTTTTAGACTGCCTTGAAAAGGACCTACAAATTTTAAAGATAATTAACTGGAGAACCTTGGCTAAGGGAAGAATGTCTTGGCATAGACTTGTTGAGAAGGGAAAGGCCCATCCTGGGCTGTCGTGCCAATGAGAAGAAGAAGAAGAAGTTGATAACTAATACTATGTGCAACACCATCTCTATGAAACTTGATTTCATTACCAAGCAGTTTTGAAATGTCATGCAGCATTCTGCCTCTGAACACATGTAAAATGAATGAGTACACGATTACTATTTTCTTTCTTTTTTTTTACCTATTGGCAAAATGGGTCCTGGTTTGGATTTCATGGCGCACTTTTCAACTGCAATAATGAAGAGTAATAGTAAACAGTGCGCATGCGTTGCTATGGCGACCGGTGCAGTTTGATAATTTTTTTAGAATTCTTTTTTTTTTTTTTTTTTTTTTTTTTTTTTTTTTTTNTTTCATTTATAATCTTGTTATGCATTAAGTTGGTGAATTTATTTTTGATACATGGGACCAGAGAGATTCCATAAATACTTCTTGAGTAGTGAATAAAAGAGAATTTCGTCCTTTGAACGATATTTTTGTTTTTATTGTATTAATTAAGAATCAGAAATTCTAACCTACAGTTCATACTGGATCGTTTTCAATACTAATTCAGGTGAATATCGCAAATAAAGAGGGTCCNAAAAAAAAAAAAAAAAAAAAAAAAAAAAAAAAAAAAAAAAAAAAAAAACGATGCCAAGGCCTAAACTTACCGAGGCTGGAAAAACCAAAGAACTTAGACGGGAATACCTTAAGCGTTGCACACAAACGGCAAAACGGACTGGGTGTTGATCACCAGTTAGGGATAAAAGGTTCTATTGTCAACGTACCCAATAACTTGCACACAAGACCGTAGACTGTTTTCCACGCAATATAAATGATTCATTCATTAATCATGTAAAATTGAAAAAAAGCCTAGCTTTCGAATCATATTTCATGTATGAACTTGTGAATCCGAAACGGGTATATGAAGCAGCTCACAATCTCCATCAAGCACCATTGTATCAATCCGAAAATTTTAATATTGATCTCGATTGGCTGTTCAATGTCTATTCATTCATCATAAGAATTTACACAGAATGTGTCTGAGCCGCATTTAAATATGTCTGTGAAATTGTGTAACGAGCAGTTCAGGGATTAACAGTTAAAGATGTCCAAGATGAAAACACAATAAATTTTCTTTTCCAAATAAAATTAAACAAGAGCCATTTTGCCACTAGGTAACTTGTGATCACCTTGAGGCTATCACAATTTTCTTCATTTCATAATGAATAGTATTTGAATTTCTTTTTTTTTTTATTGCTGAAATTCTTTTATTTGAGTATTGGTGTTCGAAAAGGCGTAGAGCAGAACTCTCTGCCTATGACAACATTTCGCATGCTTTCACCAATAGCGTGTGGAGAGTCATAGAAGGAGAAAGTAAGTTAGTTTCTATTGTGATTTTCAACTAGATTAAGAAAAATTTAAGTTAGGAAACTTATATAGAACTGAAAACTACATTAAACATACTTCTAAAAGAAAGCGCCATGGAAATTTTAAAAAATATTTTAACAATTAAATACGAGTAATTTTAAGAAAAAGAAAAATATCGTAGCACGTAGGATAGAGAAGGGTCAAAGGCATCGTACCGATCTTCTCTCCAAAAGGCGTTATTCGAGCATTGTGATCGCGAATGGTGTTTTCATGCTGCTACCATGCTCTTTTTTTTCAGCTTTTCGTCTGTATTTTCTGTAAGACAAAATTATCATTTTAAAAAAGTAAGCGCATTTAAGATTTTTTTGATATGTCACTACATTAAAAATAATGTTATGTGCTTTCGGAGAAATTGGATGATTTTTGAGGATACGTGTTAAAAATCGGGGCATGTTCATTTGGCAATCGAAATGGGTGACAGGAGGCGCAGAGCAGAACTCTCTACCTATGTAACACTTCGCGTGCTTTCACCATTAGCTTGTGAAGAATCATAAAAGAAGGAAGTATGTTACTTTCCGAGTTGACTTTAGTACCTTAAAAGTCTTTAATATCTTAAAATCTTTTAAGTTTTGATACTCTTTGGAACTGAAAACTGCATTAAACAAAGTTCTAAAAGAAAGCACCATGGATATTTTAAAAAAATATTTTATTAATTAAGAACGAAAAATATTAAGAAAAGGAAAAAAGCGTAGTACATTCCTATACAACTGAAAAGAGGAAGAGAAGGGCCAAATGCATGCAACCAGTCTTCTCCCCAGATGGCGTATTCGAGCGTTGCGATCGCCTTTTAAAGAATTTGAAAGTTTTTGAGAATAATTAATGGAATTCGAGGACTGGTCCTCAAGAGTTTGAGAACGTTTGGTCACAATAACTTATTAGTTTCCCCCATTGTATTAAGGAACATTTACACTACATGCGATTACCCTAGACGCGCGTGCGTGCGTACGTATAGAATGTTACGTAATTCGCGATCGCAACGCTCGAGTACGCCCTCTATCGGGAGCCTGTAAATATCAGACATTAATTTATCACGTTTTCATTTAGTTCCATAAAAATCATCGGCCATGACGGACGCCATTTTCTTAGCAGCAAGTAAAAATCAAAATTTCCCTAAGGAGCAGCTGAAGAACTTGAAAAAGCTAACCAGAACATGCCAAACATTGAAGCAGAACACGCCAAGCATTTGAAGAACAATTTCTCAATAATTCTTACCTTTTTATTACCAACAACATAACTTACAATTTCATGATCACTTGCTGTTACAGATGTGTATATTACGGTATAATAATTTTTTCTGTCTTCAATTCATTACAAATTAAAATGAAGTCAACATTGCTTTCGTCATTCCAATAAAGAAATGTGAATTCAGAACGCCAAGAACTGCAATAGTTATAGAATATTCTTTATTATAGAACAGTATATATTTCTGTATCTATATAATTCGGAAAACAACAATAAAGAATCAACCAAATTACTTGAAATAGTGTCATTTGTGCTGATGATTAATACATTTTTTATCGTTTTCTTGGTAAGTATTTCTTAGTTTTGAAAGAATAGACAATTTCGACTAGAATTCAGGTGTTCTGTTTTTAAGCTACATATTCAAATTCATATCGAGATCTTACAATTATAAAATTTTGATGTGTGGTATGTTATCTAAAAGTAATAAAGGGATAATCTATGCACATATTATTTGAAAATAAAACTTTCAAACAAAGAACATTTCATTTGGAACTCTACGGATTTATAAAAAAGGTAAGTGTTATGATTTTTATAATAAAAAATTATAATTTTTTTTTCTTTTCTTATTTGATGATAGTTCTCTGCAGAATGGTTTCTTACGTCTGATTAAGAACTATAAGAAAAGAAACTATATAAAAGTTTTAATTTCAATGTAAAGAATTCTTAAAATCGTTTTTTATCCTAAGAATTCTTTTTTCTTCGTTTTATAGTTTATAATTTTTTGATAAAAATTGTTGTCAAAATACTTTTTTTGAAAACATAAATGGAAAAACATTATGTGTTTATGTATACTTCTTGCATATTCTAATGTTTCAAGTAATATGATTCAGAAAAGTATGAATAAAAATTCGGTACTTATGTATTAACGCCACAGCAGCTACAGATTATGAAGACAGTCA